TAATATCAGTGTTAATATAGGTCAACTTTTTGCTGCAGCTTTCTCATTAGTGAAATTAATTGTACCTTTCAACTGTAGTAAAGGAAACGCTTTCATTGTGGTGTCTTTAATGTTGGTTGGAAATTCGTTTGTGACGACGCGAATCGATAGAAATGAACAAATCATGAGCAATGGTCCGACGAATTTTTTTTTTTTTTTGGCAACCACAAAGAAATCAGAATAAATTTCGTTTGATTAAATTACTGTTTGTAATCGTTAGTTGCTTCTTTCTTTCCAGATTCATTAAAGAAAACACGAGATTAGTGTGTATGTGTGTGTATATATATATATATATATATATATATATATATATATATATATATATATATATATATATATATATATAAAACTTTTTTTTTTTTTTTGTGAGCTTTTTGATCTTTTTTAGACACAACCTATACAAAGCTTAGATTTGGTAATATATGATATTGCATTCTTCCAAACAGAAAATCATTTTGCTGAGCCATCCTTTTGATTTTGACAAATAAACAAAAATTTTCAATCTATGTCCAGTCGTCATGAATTTAATGACATTGCATTTAAAACCTCTAAAAATTCAACAGTCATGCGTCTTTGGAGTGGTAGCATTGTTTCGCCATGTCTGTCATTTATTGGAAGTGAGTTCAGTTCCTGAATCTGGTAGTGACATGATATCTCTGGGTGGTATTATTGCCAACAGAGGCTGATTGGCTGTAACGAATGGTCTATAATAATCAAAGATGAGGATAAGTCAAAATTATATGGATGAAATCAGTTGGTCATTGTTTTAAAAAAATATATGCATTGTTTTAAAAAAATATATGTATAAGTTCGTAGCACTCTTTATTTTGAAAAACTAGAGATTAAATACATAGTTTAGGGTCGTTTTTTCGCTGAAAAGTTTTATACATATTAATCAAAGTATATTTATTTTAATTTTGGAAAATGTATTTAAATTCTAGGTTTATTTAGCTTGTGTTCGGGTTCAGAATATTTCTTCGCACTTCAAATAAATAATTATGAGCTTTGACACTATCGGGTTTCTCTTTTAATCGAATTTATTTTGGGAAGATATGTTAATTTCACGATTTAAAGTATTTTTAAGATTGATTTCAACAAATTACAAAGATGGTGCAACTGATATCGTTACTGATGAAAATATAGACATCAGTTTTTTTCTTAAACAGTCATATTTTGGTTTGAAATGACTAAAGCGGATAAAAGAAAGAAATAAAGAAAAATTCCAAAGAAAAATTAAAACAAAAACATAAAAGAAGGTTTTATTTAATATCGCCGACTTTGTATAGCCTGAACAGTTCCTAAACTACTGTTGTTTGCAAGATACATTGAACGCTGGCCTTTGTTTGACCGCCGAAATAACGAGCAATCATTTCTAGCGGCAGCAAGCATAAGCAAAAATTAACAGAAGTAAACACATCTGAAAGAAGCTTACTAGAAATTCTGTAAAACTTGCTGTCCCTACGATTGTGCTACTACATTTTATTCAATTCTTTCCGCATCCTTTGTTACAAAAATAAAGAAAATTGCCTCTTCAAATACGATTCGCTTATAAAGTCTCTTTTTCTCCTCACCCCCGCTTTTTAACTTCAGATAAATAAAGATGGCCTCATTCTTCTTTGGCATAGATTTTAACCCGTCTTTGTGCAAACAAGCCTCTTTCCATTTCATCATTTCTTCTTCGGTTACAACATCCGAGACAAATTGGAGATGAAACAGTGCCTTTCTTTTTATCATTTAGTCGGGTTTTAAGTTTTTAACAGCAACAGTTAAAACTGTAGCACACGTTGAAACTAATCAAAAACACATGTACTTTTACCTCGATATTTCTCTAGAGAAGAACAACATTTAATTAGTACATTTGATTCCATAGCCGCATTTTCTTTTCGATTATGGGTCAGTGATTTGAAGTATTATATTCAACTTCGTTGTTTTTTAAACCCAAATTCCTCAACCTTATTCGCATTTATATTGGTTTTCTTTTACTTTACATAAATAATTTTCATTTACTTTTATTTTTATTCCCACCAATTTGAATAACACTAACATCACAGGACAGAATGTTAAAGTCTCGTGTTTGTAATATTAACATAAGAACAGGCAAAATTAGAACTTCATCTATTCTTATGAAAGAGTCGGTTTTTCTTGACCCAGGTTCTGAAAGGTGTTATTCGATTCCTAATTCCATCAAAGTTTTTGCAATAGGGATCTTTTCTGTTAGTTCACCCCCAAAATAAAAGAAATTTATATTTACTAAAATTCACACCAAATTCTCTCAGAGTGAGTCCCTTCCATTGTACTCCACTTGGGTTGAACATTGCCATCGCCCAAATGTGGGTGATTCGGATGCACTATTTCTAAGTGTGCGGTCTACATTCGCGTTCACCCTGATAAACACGTTCCAAATATATTCTTTTTAAATTGTAAAAAATTCCTTGTAAGTAACTCGATTATCATCCGCACTTACGAAATGTGAAGAACTCCCTGATGTTTGTCAATTTTTCATTCTAAGGGTTGGAGTTGTTGTGAGGCAAGATAAAGAAATTTTGGTTTAAATTTTATAATTTCAAAAGAGTGCCAAAAATTTAATAAAAAAACAAACTTTGATTTAATATTTGTAATTTCGTGGGGTGAATTAATATTTCCGATACGCAATTTTACATTATATGGGGTGAATTAATAAAGATCCCAGTTTAGTTGTCCAAGTTCTTGTTTCCATATGGCATTAAAATCTATTCTTGGTTTGCTTATGAAATAATTTTTGACAAACTCATGCGTGACTTTACTTTCCGTGTTTTTAATCATGTTTCATTGTCTGTTATTTTAACCTATATCCTAGAAGAAGGGTTGTATCCTTCTTTCCTTCTATGTGTGTTGTGTTAGCCCTGATTTAGATCTTTCGTTTCGGATAATGTATTTCCGGCGTTTGTCAAATCCTATTTTTAGCAGTCAACTGGTTTCTTTCTTATATTTTATATATGCTAATTAGATGGAATAAACATCATCCATAAAATGGAATCGGTAAAATCTATAGTTTCGATACAGATCTTTCAATCTTCTGTTTTTCTACAAACACGAAATCTTCATTCAAGAACAAAATATATTTAATGAAATGCTGTGTTAAAATATTGAAGATCCAAGTCCCAAAATATATGAAATAATGAAAACATTAATTTCACGAAACAATGTCTTTCAATGATTTGATATCTCGTTATCACAATACTTTCACTCAAATTGTTTAGTTTGCATCGTGTATTGATATTTACTCAAGTCGTCTTCATGTTTGACGACCATTAAGAAACTGTCTGAATCGGAAATAAAGAATGGATGAGGTTTGAACTTGCATCTCGTATTTTTGGGAACCTCTCTGATAGGGACAGCACTTTACCGATTAGACTACGAAAGCTCGACCAGAAAATATTATTCAAAAGCAACATTCTTCATTATCTGATTGTTTGCTCCATTTTATATAGTTTGTTTTCAGTTAACGTTAGTAGACACAATAATACTGCTTGATTCACAGTAGTAGAATTGAGATGTTGTGAGTTTCCCGCGTGTCGGTGTATGAATCAAGACAAACACAGTTGTAGAGGAAAATACTGGTATATTCATAAAAGCAATTAACAATAGAGTGATTAGTAGAACGAAGGTTGGTTAGTACGAAACAATATCCAAAGTCTATAGTCCAACGGTATGTACCGGGTAAGCTTATCTGGACTGCTCACGCTGATTCTCTCTCTCTGACGCTCTGTCACTCTCTCTCCAGAGCTGACTTATATAAGAGGGACCAGTCCATTACTAGTTAGAAGGTGGGTGCGCCCCAACAAGAATCTAAAAAAAAAAACTGAGCATTGTCATAGAAGCAATCAAAATAACATAAAAAAGATATAGACAAAAATAACCCTAATGCTGAAACTAACAGATTCAGATAACTTAAGATCTAGAAATTTTTAGAAATGAGATATTTCATGACCGACTAATAATTACTGGTAAATATATAAACATGTAATTTTTTAAATAGTCATAGGAAATTGGTAACCATGTAAAATCTCGTTAGGACACGAGATTTGTTGCGTATATAATACAGTAAATGTGGTACAATGTCTAAAAGGGGAAATGGGTTGAGGTTGGTCGACACTATCCTATACCTAGCTAATCAGATTCACGATCCATTCATTCGTTACAATTTACACAACCACCACAAAAACTCATCCGCCATCATGCACTCGTACATATGCCACAATACCGCATACCCACGGGGAAACTACAAAACGCCACATGACATAAAATCTTTTGGGATATAGAAGTATAATTAAAAATTTCTTGATCGTAAGTAATGAGACGGGAGGGGATGAAGCCGAAAACAAACTAAAATATAACAAAAACCACAAACTAAATGTAACTGTGTTAGTAAGACGCGTCCAACCCTCAAAGAAATAAGAGATGCCGCCGTATTCTGTCTTCAGACAAAATCAAGAGATTCTCTCACTAAGGGAAAGATAAAATAAATACGGCCATGGGAAAAAACTGACCCAGTCGAGATGATGAAAGGGGGCCAAAACAAACTGTGGAGGTTGGTAATCTCGGCTTGGATCATAAGCAAAGAAGAAGCCGGGAAAAGGTCAGGAGCGACACATTCACATAAACTAGGTCCACAAGAAAGGTCTATATCCTTACCAGGAGAGGGATTCACAAGAAACCGCTCCGTGCTACTTAGGGAGACTTAAAAAATCAAATCAAGGTTAACCCCGTTCATGCGAACCAGGCTCGCTGCGGTTACCCACCTTTCGCTGAAATCTGTTGATACCAAACGTTATCAGTTCTAATCTTCATCCTAAGCTGATGCTCAAAGGATCGGATCAGATCCTGATGAGAATAACGTTCACATCGCCAGATTTCTCCCATTCGCGTTGTCCAAATCATCATTCGAGCTATAGCTAGCAGCGACAGAACAACAATCCGTTTCACCCTAGAGTACCGGGCGACCCATTGTCGGAGGCGTATGCGCGATCAATGGGCACGAGCTTTTCGGAAGCGATACGAGCCGTCAACTCGCTGACAATGTCCCATAGGGGGTGCACCCGAGGACAATGGTAGAAGGCGTGCGAAGCAGTTTCCTCTAAACCAAGTTCACACCGATTGCAGTTTTGCAAATCCGCCAACCCCCTTATGAAGGCCTTGTCATTGAGAGAGAGCCTATTCCGAATCATTTGCCAGTTAAGCGAAAACTCAGGGTTGATGAGGTAATCCGATGCTGGCGCCCAAGACCAAAAGGAGTGAAACTCGTCCGCCGACAAGCCGAGCCATCCGCGTAGTGGATCCTTTGCAACTGCCTCCACTAGTTCACGATAGAAGACTCTCCTAGGCCGAGAAAGGTCACTGGACCGAGGAATGACCCTCAAGGCCAATCGACACTCCAGGAGGAAACTCGATTCATCCCGGGACATACAAAAGCGCTAAACCCTCGATACGGGAGGAATGATAGTAAGGTGAGGGAGGGTAGCCTTCACACTCCCCCCAAAATCGAGTCCCTTTTCAACGCGCGGAATAGGAAAGCCAGCCTTGAGGTGTGTTTCCCAGCTCCCCACGACACGGACGTTGAGCACAGACTTCTCCAGGGTACGCTAACCAGCAAAGAAACACCTCTGGCCTGCAGGTCCCCGTATGATGAATAAGCAACAAAGTTGTCAGACAGCACACGAGCATCGACGTCGCAAACAAATTGTGTCTTCTCGATCCCAGCCACATCCACACCGAACGACAAAAGGTCACGAAGCAGGCGGGCAGCCTTAACCCGATTCCTCAGGCCCCTCACATTTAGGCTGGAATCTCGTTAGGACTCTGTAACGATAGATATTCACACATACCTGATCCAAAGCGCCCGAGGTGTCTGGCCAGCCAAACATTTACAAGAGGTCCAAGGCATATGCGTGATGTTAAGCCTTTTTATGAACGTCCCTCATTTGCATACGGGGACAACCACCCGCTTTAAAAGGCGCTATACAACGACGGTGAGGGGCAGAGAAAAAATTGGAAGTGGAATCGAGCAGACTTGGCAGTTGGGAGATTTTTTGTAAAGACTGCGCTATTCGTTAACAGACACCGAATGAGAAAATGCAAAATTTTAACCGAAGAACAGTATTTCAAACTAGTGAAAAACGTGTCCTTGTCAACAGATATGTCTGTCTTTTTGATTGCCAGATTTTTCCACAAACTCTTGAAGCACTTTATTTAATCTTGGTGACGATCTGATGATGCTTGTTACTAAGCATTTAAGAGAAGAAAAATAATTTCTGACTAGAAATAATTTCTAGAAATCATGATAAAAACGCTAAGTCAATAGTCAATAATTGGTAGAAAGTATTCTAAAAAAATTTCAGAGGACACAAAATATTATCAAGAGAATTATATTAAGGCTAGCCAATATCTAAAAAAATTGGTTTAATAGATGCGAGTCAGTTTCAATTTAGAATGAAGTATAAACCCAAAATAGTAACGATCCAATTAACCGACCCCAAATAGTATTGCAAAACAAAACAAAAACAGATCTGACCGGAAGAAAAAAAAAACTATTTTTAACAACACTTCATGCCTTTTCAAATGCTTACGATTACTTACAAAAATTTTATGTGAAAGCACTTTGATTTGCGTTATAAAAGTTCTTAAAATGACAAATGTACTTATATTATGAACTGCATATTAAACGAGAAGAAGACATAGTGTAATGACAAAAGTAGGCAGGTGTAGGCTTTAAGAAAGTTTTTATCAACTGAGAATACAAGGTTCGCGTATAGTGTCCTTTTATAGTCCTAGTAAACAGAAATAGCTCTCTCAAAGAGGAGAGTAACAAAACAAGGGGGTACCACTCTTGATTATTCATAACACATAGCTAACCATAAAGGCATTTACATGTTTCATTCAGTATTAGAATTGCGTATTGATAGTCGAGAGGTTTGATACTCAATCATAAGTTGCGTTCGAGCTGAGAAACTAATTAATCTTATTCATTCCAGGCAGGGAAAAAGTCCCCTACAAAACCGAAAGCAAAACGAACAAGCAACTGTTCTCATATATAAACAAAGTACATTTTTCCGAAGCAGTCAATTCTTGTAAAATCACAAATTTCTCACACGGTAGAAATATTTGCATGATACACTGTAAATTGTAGACATTTTGAAAGATGTAAAAATTAAATACACTATTTCGTATTTTCATTCGACAAGCTTGATAAACACCCTCCTCTCTCCCTTTGAAAGGAGGTGCGGAGCAGATTAAGTCGTTGACAATCCAACAAAAATTATTCGCATCTACAATTATTTTACAACTGTTATTGGAAGTTCCACAATATGTGGGTTAGAAGATCCATGAATAGATGCAACGATTTGCTCAAGAGCGGGTTTGTATTGCAGGAGAAAGTAAGCTTCAGAAACTGTAGATGACTGTGCTAAACCGAAGTCCCAAGTCATCGTGGCCGAGGTTTTGAGTGTACTGGCCTTGTCCAAAGAGTTTATCACGTTCGATTATGTGCTATTTCCCACAAACTGTGTTTAAGGTCTACACTCAGCACTGTTGCAGTATATTGCAGTATAAATCACCGGTGTACTGTGTGAGTATTGTACAAACAAATGTGCTTGGGCAGGTGTCTACGAAAGGATTGACTATCCGTTATAGCAGACAGGCGTGCTCGGAAAAATGTATTCTGCCATCATATATATATATATATATATATATATATATATATATATATATATATATATATATATATATATATATATTTCCTGATCCAAAGATCCTTTTGAACCAGAAATCCGAAGTCATGCATACATACTAAAAACTTTCACTTAAGCACATATGAGGTTGGATAAATAAATGTACATTTCAATTAACCCCACCCCCGATACATTTATGATACCCTTTATTATGCTTTATTGTAACTCACATTTTTGTTGATATTTTGAATATTAAACATTGTACAAAAATGAAACTTGGTACACTGAAAGATTCTAAGTAGGTGAGTATGGAGTAAAAATTTCAATCATATTGATAAGCGACATACAACGTTATGTTATATATTTTAAAATACATAGCATAACGTTGTATGTCGGTGTTTTAACTGTCTCACACTTTATTGCAGGTGTACAAGTATGCCACTGAAACGACGTCTGACAGTCACAGAAAAGACTCGGATTGTTTCAGGTCTCGTAGAAGGCTTATCTTTGAGGGAATTAGGTGAATTAGTCAAAGATCCTGATCGGGATATAAGAATATTGAAGTCATATGTGGAAAACCCTATAACCATACCAAAACAAGATAAAGGAGCGAGAAAATGTGTATCCCAGCTTGCCATTCGAAAAATACGTAGACAAAAGAGAAAAGACCTCGGTAGCACAAGTGCTGCTAAATTTGAACGTTCTGGGGTTTCTCCTTTGTCTAGAAGCACCCGGTGTAGGATTCTTAAAGAGACGGCAAGAAGTGTTAAACCCATTGCCAGACCTACCCTAAAGAAGACCGACAAAGAGAAGCGTATTGCTTGGGTATAGAAATATATGAAGACCAATTTCCAATTTGTTCTCTTCAAGGATGGGACTAGAGATACACTGGTTGTCCCTGGTGGATGGGCGAAACCTTTGGTACCACTTGGAGCCTCTTGCCTGCATCGCATTCGGCGCCAACAAAGAAGTGGCGGTGTTATGTTTTGGGCTGGCATCAGCAAATGAAATTGTCGGACCTTTTCGAGTGCTAGGAGCTGTCAAACTCCCCAGCAATTCCTACACTGCATTTATGGAGGAGAGTTTTTCAATATGGTTGGATGATTTGCCACACTCACGTAGATGGCGGTTGATTTATATGCATGACAATGCTCCATCGGATTCAGCCAAAGCTACAATTTCGTACCTCGCAACTTTGTGATACGAAGAACAAACACTTATGACTTGGCCTCCTTGTTCTCTTGAACTTAATCTTATCGAGCAGCTCTGGTCAATCTTGAAGAGGAAAATTTATGAAGGAGGCGTACAGTTTTTATCGTAGGATGCCACATGGGAACAGATCAAAACTGTTGCTGTTACCATAACATCTTCTCAAATTAGTCGGCTAATAGCTTCTGTGGACAAAAGACCGATGTAATTTCTAAACATGGAAACTACGCAGACAAAGTACATGACCATCAATCTAATTGTGTTTTTTCTATATATTTTGTTTTCATTCTTTAGTTACGTGCTTCATTATTGCAATAAAATGGTAATATAAAGATAATAGCCTTTTTCATTACCTTAAATTGACATTTTTGTACACCTGTAATAAAGCGCGACACAGTTGAAAACACTTTAAAATACATAACATAACGTTGTATGTCATTTATCAATATGATTGAAATTTTCACTGCATACTTATCTACTTGGAATCTTTCAATATACCAAGTTTCACTTTTGTGCAATGTTTAATATTCAAAATATAAAAAAAGTGACCTGCAATAAAGCATGATACATAGTTTATATATATATATATATATATATATATATATATATATATATATATATATCATGATCAAACTTATACTTTGAGAAACTTTTGCAACGAATGCCAGAAATGTGTTGCAGTAATTAGGTCTGAAGGAGGATATTTAAAAGGAGTAAAAGTTAATCATAAAATGCTTTTTTTCTTTTTGTCATAAAATTTCTAATAAAATTCATCTCTCACTTTTTTTTAACCATGTATAATAATTTTCTCTCATTTAAAGTGCAAAATAACTACTTTTGGGGTCAATTTAAAAAATTACCGGGAATGGCCTAAAAATTTTGAAGAGTAGTTTATAAACTAAGTTTAAGTTCTTAAAGCCTGTGTCTGGTTTAGAACATTTTCCACCATTAAAACACACAGACATTCATTTTTTATATTTTCATCTTTAGCATCGATTGCATTAAAATCGTCTCCTCAAAGTGTGGATTAATTCAAAAGTGTCAGCCACCTAACTAGAGTTCCTTTGAAGAAGGTAACAGGAAATCATTCTTTATCCCTCCAGAAAACAATCATGGCAATTCTTTTTAAGTGCCGTATCCTTTCAAGATGTAGACGATCATGGCTCTCCACATCCCCCTATACCTTGTGGCTCTCAATATGTTTTGTGCCTCTACCAAATTCCCCCAGACCACGTTCTGTCATCCACTTGTTTAACCCCGCCAGGTATGTCATGCGTTGCTTTCCCCTGTCTCTTCCCCCACTTTATTCGACCTGTGAGTATCAGATTCTTCAAACCCTCCTTTCTCATTACGTGTCCCAAAAAATCATCTGCCGCTTCATTAAGTATAAGCTACATAATTTAAAAATAATAGAAAACGGTATGAAGTGGATCAGATCCTTGGAATTGACTGATAAGGAGATCCATATGCGACGGTTGTCACTTGTTTCATCCAGCAACTGTTTGAAAAAATAACAATATCATAATTTG